AAACTCTGTGTCCTTTCTTTTTGATATATTAAGATTTTCTGCAGATTTTCAAAGTGTTCCTCTGTTCCTAAACTCTGAAGACCATAGATGCAGTTTCAGCTTGAACACCATCACTGCACTCATCGTGTGTGATAAGTCTCTGTCCCCCCTGCAATTCTTAAATTAGGTTGTTTGTTTTTTGCTGTTATGTCCAGAAGAAACCCCAAGTCTAATAACCACATTTGACAGCTTGCTTCCAAATCATTTCTCACAGAGTAATTATTTAAACAAGTGATTTGTGTAGAGGTCTTGCATAAATTCAATTGACAGTCGTGACAAGTACCATCACATGAGAAAAATCAATTCTGTTATTGGCAAATGCTTGGTGGTGAGTAACACCATTGTATTTGATGAAGTATGGGAATGCAGGATCAGTTCTGCAAAGCCTGCATAGACACCTAGCATTGACAGCACATCGTCGGTGGGGTTTGAAACCACTTTCTTGATCTGAATGTTTTTCTCAGTCAAATACTTTTGAATTTGAATTTGTTGTAGTTACCTCCACCTTCTTTGCTTATTGAGTGACAAAAAGGATCATTAAATTCTCTACTCATAAAAGAGACTTACAAAGTACTTTAAGGATACAGTTTTAGGAATATCATTAAAACCATAAATTGCAGATATTAATGGTAAGTCAACACTGAATGATTCATATGCAAATGTAGAAGTGATTTTCATGGCAGACTTTGATTTTTCCCACCTAGACCGAGAAAAACAAAATTCGAATTTCATAAAACCGACCGAAGACCAAAATGGTCTGCAAGGTTAATGACTGCACTGCTCAGTTTGTAAGCGCACCTACAAGAGGAAATACTAATGTTCATCTTGTCTTTCCAAACAATCAAGACATAGTGTGACAAACAGAATTGAGAGAATCATTAAGGAAGTGTCATTGTAATATGTTATGCTTTCAAATATACTTTGAAACTTTACATTTTTTTGTCCAGATCAAGGGTTTAGAATTTCAGAAAAGCAGATCTGAAAGACTGAGATAGAGGTCAAGATAAGTACAATGAGATAGAACAGTTATGGAATTTGTGGAGAATGGATGGCAACAGTTTAAAGAGATTTTGATTGATGCACATAACATATTCATCCCAAATGTGAGTAAATCAAAAGTTAAAAAACAATCGAAATAATATAAGATATTAAGGAAAAAAGGAAATGAAAGCAAACTATAACATTCTTAAAGAAACAACAGGATCTAGTTTCATTTGCAAGCAATATTAGAAAGGGCAAGAGAAAGTGGAAAAGAACATGGCACTGGAGGCTAAAAGTACAACAACAGCAAAGGAACAGTAAAGGATGAAGCTCTACATCTACATTAATCAAAGTTCTACATGATGAGAGGCAAATGGCTGATGTACTAGTGAGTATTTTATTTAGGTGTTCATGGAGAGAGAAATTAACACAAAATAACTTGCAGAAGAACAAAAAATCTGTATTAAACTGTGTGCATAGAACATTTTCAAGGATAGTTATTAAACTAATCAAACTCCTCAACAAATGCAAATAAAAAATAGGTTAAATTGAAGACAGAAAAAACACCTGGCAGATGGTGTATAATGTAGTCTTCATGACCCTGGGTGTTTTGGCAGTCTAATATGAGTCACTCTGAAGTCATCCCTGTTTTAGTCACCATGGAATTGTCCTTTAGGGTGTCCTTGCCATGGCCATAGCAAATTGCTGAGTGTTGCAATTCACTCCGTCAGGAATTATCTACCCAAAACGTGCAGCCTACATCAGATGAGGAATTGAACTTCTTACTTTACAGCCACAGTACTGGACAGTGTTAAGAAATAGAAGTGAATTAAGCGCTGAAAATAAATTATCCATCCATGCATCTGTTTAATGTCTCTCTCACTTTTTTTCCATTACTACTTAAACTTTCAGTCCCAGTAGGAAGCTTCTTTCAATTTCACAGTATTTGCAGCTTAACAACCAGCAGTGAACACTGAGCGTGATTAGATAAAGACCATGTCCACATAGCCAGCTCTATTGCTGGGGCTCAGGGCTACGGAATGTTTAAAGTAAACCAGCATTTGGAAGCTGTTGAATTGAAACCATTTGCCAAGAATCTGTAAAATTACAGCCTTTAACCTCAACAACAGATTGAACTGGATGTCTGTTGTCGAAACAAGGACCTAAAGGACCTGTACAATCAGCTCTTATACAGTAGGTCTGACAGCAGGTGAAAGGCAACTGTATATACAGTACCACAGCCTGAACAATGAATTGAAGTGACCGTTTGTTAATTAATTGTATTTTGGCAGATTATGAATTATTCAGTGTTCAGATAGAATCCAGCAGTTAAAAAGAAAAGCTAACCTTGAAAGGTTTTTGAAGCTTTTCTTGAGCAAATTCCTATTACAACCATAAACTTAAGCTAACATGATGATGCATATTTGAGCGTAGGTGATCATACCTAAAACCAGAATTTAATTGATTTTCTCAGCACACAACAATATTTTGCATTTTATTACTGAAAGAGGCCTGTAATTAGTTTTATGTGAGACCCACATGAGCTGTGTCAGGATCCATTGTAATGTACTGTATTATTATCTATGCAAATGGAAAATGTTTAATCTTGTGTACATGGTATTTGTTTGTGGGAATTTATTAATTGGATGCTTTGATACCTTTAATTTTTCCTTTAAGAAAGTAGGCTGACATAAAAGTTTTATATAGACATTCATTTAGTTGCTGTTACATTATATTAATTACATTTCCGTTTTTTTTATTCAAGGATTAACTTTAGCTGGCATTAATCCTCGCACGGTTCTATTAAAACAGGTTTGCTCCTTGCATCCTGGGCTTTTTCACTCATTACTTTATTACGTGCTCTGTGCTCATATTCTCAGTGGGTTTGCAGTCTGCGTTTCCCCTTCTCACTCCCCCAGGGCTGTAGTTTCAAGTTCAGAGGGATTATCCTGTGCATGATGGATTTCCAGTGTGAAAGCCAGTGAAAGTCCCTCTTGTAATCATGATTCCGCTGAAGGGAATGAGTTTCCATCACACAGTCATGTCGGTCGCCACCCTCTTTCTCCGGTCAGGCGAAAGGTATCGAGTGGCTTCCTCTTCTGCTCTGTATGAGCTTCAGCTGTGGAGTGGGAGCTGTAATGCAAAGCACATCCGAAAGGAAACAGTTTTAAAGCCCTAAAGCCATTTTTTTACTTTGTTTTTAAATGCTGCTTAAGGGGAGTAATAGCAGATAAAATCTACAGAATCCAAAGTTTTGTTTTCTTTTGTTTCCTTAGAAATGTAGTTGTAGAATGAATAATTTTATGACTAATTTTCTTTTATTTTAATAATAATACAGATAAATTTGAGAAGATGTCAGGAATAACATGCTTTTTGTTGTGTGTTAAGTCTGCAAACGTTTCGCTCCTCTTTCTTACTGAACCCTGCACCATGTTTTGACTGAGATTCCAAACATGGGTTCCCAGAGCATGATTCTGTTGTTTCAGATGCTATGTTGTGGAAAAGCAAATGCTAATTGATTGCAGTTGATGGTGTTGAGTTTGGGGAATTACCACAGATCTGATTTGTCACTTTTAACTCTGGCGTATGGGCCTTTTCCCACAGTCTGGCAACATGTATTTTGTGTTGGTTGCCTAGCAACAGAGGCCAGTCTTCCTATTTTTCCAGTTCACTTTGGCTCACACTATCTGCGGCAAACACTTAACCTTGTTCGTTATACATTTTTTTAATGCCTAAAAAGTTCATGTCCATGGATTCTGTACTGTACATCCTTGAAAATGGCTCTTATTGTTAATGGGGTTGATCCAAAATCCCTGTTGTGATTACTGAAATTTAAAACCTAGGAATAAGACGTTGACAAGCTCAAAATGTTCAAGCACTGGCAAAGAACCACGTGCTAACCTATGAGAAAAAAAAGTACAGATAATCTTCTAAGGGCACTTGAAAGATACTTAGTAATGAAACTTTTGACCATTTTGAAGGTTGATGTTTTCACTCATGAAAAGATTTCAAAAGCCTAGGTTCTATTTAATTTAACATGATTCATTTCTGCAGATTAAATATGATCTGCATCATATCTATCAGCTTAGAAATGACATTTCATTGATTAACATGCAGACTGATACAGTACTTGCAAAGCATATTTTCATGTGGTAAAGATTATGAGCCTTGTATTCAAAACATGTACTGTACAGTAGGTGCTTAATTCCCTGTAAGACACGATAGGGATTTAAGTATCTAAGTGGTTTACATATAGGTATTTCTTTTATTTCTGAAGAATATTTATTACATTTATCATTAAATGTGTTTCTCTTATACTGTATGTACATAACTCACAGTTAGCACCTATCACACAATTGTTTTGGATTATGATGGTTTTTAGGAATTAAAAAAAACATGGTAGCTTTCAGGGGGTAGAACAGGGTTATCCTTCAGTACTTTTTATTTCCTTTTATTAACATTTCTGTTTCTTGCCGCAAAGAATGGCATTTTTTCAATGAGAGTAAAATTTCCTGTTAGATATTTGTTTCAGCCTTATTAATGTGAAGGTTTTTTCATTTACTGCTGAAAAAAAATCATTTCTGCTTATACTGTACATGTATTATTATAGGGTGGTTTAAAAGGTGAATATCTGTTTTAAGAAGTAAAAGATTCGGTTGAGGTGTGTTTGATATTCTTAATCTAACACATAGCACGGGCTATTTAGCGAATAAGAATAAAATAAGTCAGAACTGCTTTGTTACTTGTAACCTCACACTGTATTCTTGATTTGGAAAGTAGTTCCCATAGAAATACCCAGTTTAAGAACAGTGACAAAACAAGATCTCAGACTGCTGGAAACCTACAGAAGTGCCTTTCACTACCCTGTGTTTGTTTGGCTGGCTGAGCTATCGTGCCAGGAGCTGTGTGTTGTCCTTGCTTACCCAGAGGGAGTGTGATACTTGTTCAGAAATGTGTACTGTTATTGTGTCTTTGAACAGGTGTGGGCTGTTGGGGGCGAGGGGGCCGTGTTCCTGCGAGAATTTACACTGATCCGCAGAGATAATCTTCAAGAGGAGTCGCTTTCTGAAAGCCTGGCTAACCACAAATCTGATGATCCTGTAAGTCTAGAATCTGCCTCATGCATTTTTAGAAATGTCAGGCCTCTACTGTGCTCCTCCCTGGGCCACAACACAATGTTGGTCCCCACTGTTTTTCATGTCTTGATGTTGTGTATTATTATAACTTTCTCACTTTGTTCTTTTGTGAGATCTAACAATGCCCAGCAAGTCAGTGTATTTTTATATTCTGTGTGTTCTATATAGGGGCAGCACAGCACGATGTTTAGCATTACTGCCATGTAGTGCTGAGGCCCTGGGTTCAATTCTGGACCTGGGTTGCTATATGTGTGGAGTTTGTTCTCCCAGTGTCCAGGTGCTCTAGTTTCCTCTAACAGTCCAAAAACAAACTGGTGGGTTAATTGGCTTATGGAAACATTGGCCCTAGGTGTAAACGTCTGCATGTCTGTGTGTCTGGCCTGTGATGGACTGAAATCCCATTCAGGGTGTATCCTGCTTTGTGCCCATTGCCTGCTGGGATAGGCACCAGCTCCCCCTCGAAATAGTCAGAAAATGAATGAATGGATTGAGGTACAGGTATGATATTATTGATAATGGATTGAACTGAAAGGGCAAATCTGGAAGAATGGATTTTCTGTATACAAAACTGAATTACAACACATAAAATACAGAAGAGGAAATGTAATTATTTAGAAAAGCCAAAAAAATATTTTTTATCATGTATATAATTTCAGATATTTCTATACTCAAATGTAAAAGGATAATAAAAGTAAGAAAAAAGATTATTGTTTGAAGTCACTGATTATGGCTGAAATTATTCCTACTTTAGAAAGGATTCTGTGTGCCTTCAGTCCTATGGAAAATATTTGTTGACTACCACTTGAAGTGCTCACGACATTTTTGAGGTTGCTTAAGGTTCCATCTCATTAACTAACAAAAATGAGAAATGTGTTGTAAGTATTGTGCACCTAAAAAATTTCAGGTCTTTGTAAGAGTATCACTACTACTTTTTCACATACTGTATGTATGTTGCTTTTTGGTCAGGTTTATATGTTGGTGTGGGCTCAGTTTCACTTTTATTCTGATGATACTCATTTAATTAACAACTACGTTAATTCAATGCTACTGCTGTTTAATTTTCGTCACTTCACAGCCAACTCATATTAAGATAAGGGTTAAAAATAACTATTAAGATGAGCTGTGAAAAGACAGGATATGCTTATTGGCTCCCAACAACAGCCGTGCAAAGTTGGTGATTTCAGTGTTGTGGCTGGTGTGGACTTTGATCGAAGTCCCAAAGCTTAGTGTTGTTTTTGGGACCCTGTGCTGTCAGATAACGTTCTTGTTCCGCCTGTTTGAAAAATTGCATAATCTTTCCACAAGATAGGACTTCTGTAGTACCTTCCTTACTGGGGCATATACAGTATGAAGGTACTGAGTAAGTTTTGCTATATCTAGAATTCTGTGGCTTGCTTGTGCTAACTTAACCTACTGGGCCTCAGCATATATCTTCATGTAAATTGCTGTGGCTCTCTGTGAAATTTAGTGGGTTTTAAGGTTCCTACGTTTGCTTACATTTGAGGCACTGGACAGTCTGTCTTCAGGTTAGCTTAAGGAGTTATTGCATGAGTACAGTGCAACCTTTAATGTGAGATCTTCTCATTCCAAGACTGGGCTCTAAACAGTGAGAGACAGAGCCCGCTCGTGTGCAGCTTCATGACTGTGGAATTCATTGCCCACATCCATTACTGACTCTGTGACTGTGTCCAATTTTGAAAACTTACTTAAAGATTGTTTTCCTATCTTGCTTTTAGTCTATAATTTGGTTTTACTCTTGGCTGCAGTTAATCAATTTACTGTGTGAGGTTTTTTTTTTTACTTCTATGGTCTAGTAGTATGTACTACTGTGCTGTGCTTTCATTTTTTTTTAAAAAAGAACTAATAAATAAAACATGTACAACTATGGCCACTTATTCTTCATCTTTCTCAGCTTCTTCCCTTTTCTTCTTCTTCTTCCCCTTAGCTGTTTTCGAAATGCATTCCATCCTTATGAATGATCTGCCTTAACTCAGAAGGATCAACAAGTTTTGTCCTGGCAGCAGCAATGGTTGGTTTTTCACATGTATGTTCTTTCATAGGTGTTTTTTTACTTCAAAGCGATTTATGCTTGTGTCCGCTGAATTTGACTTAACCTTAGGAAAGGTTGCTATACAGTACGTGAACAAATTTATCACAAAAAGCAAAACAGATTCCTGATAATTTTATTAAAATATATCAAAATGCAACAGTCAGTTCACAGGCATATCCCATTGCCTCTTTTGGCACACAGTTATTCTTCCTTTTAAAAGTGGTTTGCCTCAAATTGAGGTGTAGAGTGGATAATCAAGGGCTAAATTAACTCCACTGGCTGTATGTTTTTATGGTTTGTAGTGTATGTTTGCTCCTGCATACAAAAATGTTCTTGAAGCAACGGTACATTTTTTTTACATTCAAGCAATGATTGCCACATACAGTATTATGACTGATTATATTGATTAGATGCGCTGAGGAAATTATCTGACAAAAGAAAAATCATATATTACTGTATATGATTGACATATACTATAACTTATGATTCAAAAAACATTTACAACATGTAAAAATGTATATCTTTTTGAACAATAGTGAATAAGGATAATACAGTAAATACCTTTACAGCTTCACCTGTAGTCTTTATAAAGGAGTTATAGTATATAAGATCTTTCAATTACATCATGACCCTCTTGCCTATTTCTGACTATTCCCATGATTTTTTATAATTATATATTTCAGTTTCTGCATGCTTCAATAATTCATACAGAACATGAGTTTTTTTATAGCTATAAAAATGACCTACTGTGATTATCTTTTCCCCCTTTTAAATAAATTGCCTTGGTCTTTCTGACTGCACTTCCCTATTAAGAGAGAAAAAGAGAGTAATTTATGACAATAATTTTTCATGTTAGTTTCATCTTCTTTTTCCAAGTAATTAATTTACAATTGTATTACAGTCAGTTATATTGTATGGCGTTTTTCATCCCAAAAGATCTCAAAGTGCTTCAACTAGGAGGGGACACAAATGAATTAAAGAATACATTTAAAGAGACCGGGTTGAGCCCCAAGTGAATTTAGAAGGAATGCCAGGGTTAGCAACCCTACTTTGACAAACAATGCCAGCGATCTTTAATGACAAAGTTAGATCACAGATTTAAGTCTCCTCCAAATGAGACCCGTTAGACCTAAGAGACACATTTCTGATTAACTTTAATTTAGAGCCAAGTAACCATTCCATTTTTGCCAGGCTGGTAGAGATACTGTATATCTTGAAATACTGATAACAATAGTGACAGAAATGGCTTCTACCAATTATTTATTTAGAGGGGTGAATACTTATGTAATAAACTATGAGACACTAGGATGGATACTTTACTGTACATTTCCATATACTGTATATGATAGAAAAACATAACATCTACTGAGATGTTAGTGGAAACCACACAGAGTGACAGTTAAAGCAATAACAAATTAAGCAGTGCATAGCTGAGTCTTACAATCTACATTGTTCACAGAAAGACAAAAATGCCTTGAGTTTCCTCTAAATTGTGTGCCTGACCGATACAGTATGTATGTGTGTTGTGGTATTAGACTGTGGCACAGCTGATGGAAATATTTCAAAATAACTTAATTCTCTGTCAGTATAAACTAGCTGGAGCTGTTCCTGCCACACTGGGTGAAATACCCTCCATACATCGGCGAAATTCCTGAATTTGAAAAATCTTTCCTGCCTTCACAAAAGCAAAAACTGTGGGATACCCTGACCCCTGAGCCCTCATAGTTTAAATGATCGTTATTGTAATTTGAGCTACAAGTAAGCGTCAGGCTTTTTCTTTTACACAAAAATCCCTTTCCTCATTAACAAAATCTTTACCCTAAACACACACACACCCCAACCCCTTGGGATGTAGCATCCCATTTCCATCAGGTTTCCTGTTTCTGCTACGTTTTCCAGCTGGGGGACGTGGGGGCACAACTGGGTCGAGAAACACGTCCCAGTTTCATCCAGTATAAAGCTGAGGCTTAGCTTAGGTTACAGCTCTATCAGAGCAGCTGTTTGTTTACTCAGGATAACCGTACCATCTGGCTGGCTTTTTCCTGGCTTGGCTTATTCTTGCAGGGTCTTTTCGGGTCTTATAAAAAAAAATCACTTTAAATCAAATGTGCTGAAGCAAACCATTTTAATTAGTAAAGGGAACCGAATAAAAAAAATGAAATCTTGATTTATTTTTATTGAGAATTTAATTTGAAATGTTAACAATTTGCTATATTGTACCTCAACACAACAGAAAGCATTCTGAGGCATTGATTAGCCTCTTTGTTTTGAACCTGGTAAAGTGGTTGTGTCAGAGCATAGCAACAACTTGAGGTTAATTACACATTGAAACAGAAGGAAAGGCACAAAGTCTTCTGTTGAGCTTTCTCCAAGTGTGAGAAGAAGTTGTGTTCAAGCAAAGGTTATTAGTACATTTTGATTTATGGTGCACAGATAAGCCTCCATATCTTGAAACATCGTTTCAGACCAGGTTATGAGAAAGTAACATGAGTAGCACTTACAGTTCCATTAAGCGATTGAACTGCCCAATACATAATGTATTGTAATAAGCAAAAGCCCTTCTTCTTTCTTTTCCCTTCTCCTGTCATCAGCCAGGTAAAGTTTGTGCAGATACTATAAATTATACAGTTTTGCATTATGATTTACGTATACAATGCTGACCTCTGATAAGTCACTCTGGGACTGCACCCATAATGCTATCCTGCCATAACATCATGAAGGAAGTTCCAGTAACCTTAAATCATCACCAGGTGCGGCACTGGCAGATTTATATACTGTGCTACAAAGCTGACAAGTGTGACTGTTTCTTATTGTCAGAGGATATTTTGTGATTGTGTTTGTTAAATTAATTTTGTTTCTAAGATTTGCTGGAACAGTGTTCTGAAAAGAGTCATTGTATAATAGGAATTACGCA